TATAGATTTCATCAGCAGCCCTTATTATCTTCAGGACGTGGCATACGGAACAAGGAAGCTAAAGTTGTCGAATGGAGAAGTAATCGAAATACCAAACATGGTTCGGACTGTGATAAATTCAAGAATGGTAAGGCTCTATGAATCATATTGCCAAGAAAAAGGCTTTACACCACTTGGACGATCGACGCTCTTTTCCATTTTAAAGGTATGCATTTAAAATCAAACAAATATTATATCTTTTCAATGAAAGAAATTAAACTATTTCTAAATAAAAAAGACACTAAATGAAAATAAATCATAAGGGGCACGTGACACCAAAAATCTGAGCTCCAAATAGAAATCGAACGCATGATCCTACGCAGGCTATCTGCGTACTAGACGGATTATCTAATTACTAGGCTACAGATTTTTGCGGAGTCCAGGCTTATGGTTAATTTTCATGCAGTGTGTATGTTCATTTATTCGTTTGTACGTTTATTGATCTATCCATCCATCCCTCCCTCCCTCCCTCCTTCCCTCCCTCCCTACATCCATTCCGTCCGTCCGACCGACCGACCGACAGACCGACCGTTCATTCATTTATTTATATGACGTATAATAATTTGATATCTGATCTCAATGCATTTTCCCATAGGTATGTGCATCGTCTCAGAAGAAAAGTCTTGCAGGACTAGACAACACAGCGACTGAAGGAGCGTCAGCTTTTGACACCATGGAAATRATCATACATACCATGGCATCCCTCGGTAAACATCTATTTTACAACAAAYGTAATGAACTATCTTACGACCCTCTTTTCTGACTCTTAAGTGGCTTACATAAGATCTTCTTACCCCTTTTACTTATGTATACAGGTTTATCTGTTGATCATGCCAACAACTTCATACAAAGGATTCAAACAGCTAAGAGATACCTGAAAGCTGATTACAAACTCCATGTAATCGAGGAAAATCCCTGTGCTGATCATTGTATACGATTCGCACTGTCTTCAAATGAAAATCAGTATAAGTCAGATTGTAAACATGATCATGATATGCTATGCGATCGGTGTCAGGACTGCAGAGACGTCTGTGAAGATATATTTTCCGAGCTCGACTCAAAGCCTATTTCATACAGGTATAGTCAAAACTTTATATAACGAGCGCCTGTGTCTGCGAACAAAGTTTTGTATCGTTTTCAGTGCTACATTTAGGGTGTGTTCAATTTGCTTCATCACAATATGTTTCGATGATAAACAGAGTACCATAAATATTTCATTATTTCATTTTTAATCAGCACTCGATCTTTAAGGTATAATTTCTTCCCTCTTCCCTTTAAGTGATAGACCCTTTGCAGTTAGAGGTCTTGTGACCTCACCTACCTAAAAACAAATCAGCAATTGTCGTCTAACTAAACTCGACCTGTCCTTTCCATTTCTGGGCATCAGTTTGGCACTGCTGATTGATTTAAGGTAGGTGAGGTCACTTGACCTCTAGCTGCAAAGGAACTATCGTAACGATATTCATAGAGAATAGCCGGACTTATCTACAGGTGCTTCAAATAACTATTTTAACCTTATTATTCCTAGTTATCCAGAGCAACAAGAAGAGCTAAAACATGATGCTGAAAAAGCAGCAGGGAAAATCCTAGATTGGAAATCACACATTGTCAGGGCTATCAACCAAGAAAGGGCCAAAAGAAAAGTTCTTGACAACCTTGCTTACGAACAGACTTTGATCATAATGGATTGGGCGATGAAATGGCTCCCTCGAAAGGAACCGTGAAACCCAGAACGATTGGTTTGGGAAAAAGGGAATTAGTTGGCACGTTTCGGCCTGTATAACAAAAGCAGCTAGTAACAGAGAAAACGACTTCGAGGTACTTTATTTGTCTTTTAGTAAGAATGCAATGAATTGCGTTTTATACAAATACAACAAATTGGATTTTATGATTTTATGCATGTTTGCTACTGTTCACAGGTGCGCACCTTCGTTCATATTTTAGAAAAGTGTAATCAAGATTGGTTTTCGGTGCTGTCGGTATTAGAGAATCATGAGCTTCCAAAAACGTTGCCAAACCTCAAAGAAGTATTTTTGAGAAGCGACAATGCTGGTTGCTATCATAATGCTGCCTTAATCACAAGTATCCATACCATTGCTAAGAAACAAGGGCTGATTCTGAAGAACTACAGTTTCAGTGAGGCAAATAGTGGTAAAGACGTCTGCGACAGAAATATTGCACCACTTAAGGCACATATTAACAGATATTTGAATGAAGGTAACACAACTTATTCTTTTTTTTTTTTTTTTCAACGTAAATCTATTGCAGGGAATATGGCTGGTGATATTACTTTACTTTAATTAATATATAACTATTTTTACCTACTGGGTCGTGATATCACTTCTGCTGAACATCTGAAAGAAGCTATTGATTCCTATGGAGGGTTGAAAGGATGCCAAGCTGCTATAATTGAGCTAGATACAAAGATACAAAGTGCAACGAAACCTTTTAAATTAAAAGGCATTAGCAAGCHTAAACAATTCGAATATAACATTGATGGAGAAATGACGGTATGGCAGGCGTGGAATATCGGAAAGGGTATGAAAATATCGAAGACTGGCAGTCCTCAAGGTGAGACGGGCGTAATYGYAACGCRGCCATTTCTTRAACCAAAAGTGACGTCTGGCATTTTAAAGAAAACTATAGTGGAACCTTCATCATGTCCAGCTGCAAAAAATGAGCCAAATGTCCCTGATGTAAAAGACAAAGAACCTGTCAAGTTTTATTGTCCTGAAGAAGGATGTATTAAAGCATATAGCTGCAGTCGCTATCTTAAACAGCACGTTGATATTGGAAAGCATGAATTCAAGCTTCACGAAGAATCACAGTATGATCAAATACGACGGAAATGGGCTCAAAAATGTACTTCTCTAAAACCTCAAAACCCCTCGTGTCCACCAATGGTTAGCTCGGTTTCTAATTCAGAAGAAGTACATGTTCCTGATCTAGTGACCGGCTGGGAATTGAAAAAATCGAAGTAGTGCAACCGATTTCCACTGCACGTGAAGAGCTACCTTGTAGGGCAGTTCCTGATTGGGGAGGACACAGGTAGGAAAGTGACGCCAGCAGAAACATCGACGCGAATGCGTTCCATGCGTGATAGTAACGGGAAACGAGTCTTTGATAAAGATGATTGGCTAACGGTACAGCAGATCACCAGCTATTTTTCAAGACTGGCGGCGATGAAAAAACTTGGTCAGTTACCACCAGCACCTCTAACTGAAGAAGAAGAGGAAGACGTCGAAGTTGCCTTGCGTACGACCGAGAGATATAATCTGCGTGAGAGAGTCTTGAGGAAGCTCACTTTGTGACTTATTTAATCGATCGAGCTAGAGTGTATTTTGGGAGGACCTTGCGATGACTCTAGCAAACATTTAAAAATGATGTCGCACATGTAATAATAATATGATGTTGCAGCTTAAAACATGAAATGGTCGGCTTTGAATGGCCATAGTACCGCTTGGAAAATTATATTTGTTGAATTTTGATTTTTTTCTAAACAAATGTCTTTTAAACTTCTTGTATTGAAGATATATATCAATATCTAAAGACGTCCAGATCAATGAATGTGTACTGTATTTTGGTGTATGGCTTTTTGACTTTGTTTATGTTGTATCATTCTCTCACAAACAGTAAGTAGCAGAGCTAAATATCTGACTTCTTCTAGATTGTTTTCCTTTATTTACTACTGGTTTGCAATGGTTTTTCATTTGATGAGTTATCTTTGTTGTAATCAGCCATTAGCTCGTTGTGTAAGATAATCGCTAGATCACGTAATTTGCGGTACTCTCATGCTTCACAGTTAATACTTTACAAAAATATTTTTTCGTGCACTTGTTTCCTATTATCAAACTTGTTTCCTATTATCAAAAGAAAATCAAACTGCGTGCTTTTAGAAGCCCGCCGCAGCGAGAATATACGATGTTTATTTTAGGCCAAAAATACCTGTTTCAAATTTCGATTCCAACGACTTAATCGTAAATTACCTTAATTATTTTGTTTCGAACTGCAATGATAGTTTGATACCTTCATCGTAGTGTTCAATAGATATACTACACTTGTATAAGTTTCCATTTCGAAAAGAGCTGTAGTTTTAGAGAACTGTTATTGTGAATTTCGCTCTAATTTCAAGTAATTTGCATAATTGGTCTGGGCATGATTCATTCGACATCCATATCTTCTCGGCGTTTTAAAATTTTCGTCTGATATTCCACACATTTAATAATCACATCAAAGTACATAACTGTGCAAAATATCAAGATAATCGGAGATACCCCATGTAGACACATTTTTCAGCATTGCATGGTTTTCAGGTGGACTCTAATATGACTAAAAAAATGCATTTAAATAAATTGAGTGGTAAGTGCGTGACAAGTGTGACGCGGCTTTACAGAACCGCGTGACCAACTCTATTTTTCGTGTGTTTGGTTTTCAGACAGATAAAAAACGGATAGAAAAATCGATATTATAAACCTTCAAACCATCACAAAACTAATTCAATTCGAAGAACAGTATTTCCTTTGTTTAAGAAAGGATTCGATTAAGTTTTTGAAGTCAGTGAATGTCCTGGATTCAAAGTACAACGGGTTCAAATCTACAATAATCTAACCAAGGGCACTAGGACACCGAATGTGGTTGGATTTCTATAGGGTTTTTTCCCCTTTCGATTATTTGAATTAAATCAACGTTATACTTGTTTACTTATCTTGCGTCCGTGCTCCTTCGTTCGCTGTTGTAATGCAGACGTTTTCATTCCAAAGGTCAAACGGTTTGAATAGCCTATGAGCGTTTACTTCTTTAACGGCCGTTCCGTACTTGACTCTGTTTGTACTATACCAACAACAACGCGACCGCGTGATGCTCCTTACGTCAGTAATATTCAACCGTCCAGAGTTAATATGGTTAATCAAATTCACCTTAAGTTCCATATAGGGCTCTATTGCAGCCATAAAGTACCGAGAAAAGCAGACTGAATAGTTTGCAAAACGAGAATATGTGGACCGCATGGCACTAATGAAAAACGAGGAATCAACTGGCACGTAAGCAGCGTCGTAACCAGATCATCATCCAATGATCTTGAAGTTGTTTCATATGTTCATTTATTCAATAGTTGTCGACAAAATTGGTACGCAGTTCTATCTATCATCGAGCACCTATTTTCGTTAATCAAAACACGCAATCCATCGATAAGTAAAACATACAACAACATGTTGTTATCGTCCTTATGTGACCTTGGAAACCGACAAGGAATAGAGGTAGTAAGATACGACCATTCCTAGCCCTAATCCGGCAAAGATGTTTGTGACAGGATCTTATGTCCACTAAAAGGCATCCATTACACGTTATTGTATTGAAGGACATGACATCGTAACAGCTCAAGATATGCACACTGCTTTAAAGGAAAGGCCCGTAAATGGAACAACTGCTACTGTATGTACTATAGAGGAGAAGACAAAACGCCTGAAATAAATAAGATCAACAACTACAGCAAGTTACATAACTTCAAGTTCACTACAAATGGGTTAACGGAGTGTGGAAAGCTTTCAACATAGGAACAGGGAAATTGCTGTCACTAAAAAAACATCGTAACAGGTTAACAGGGAGCCACAGGACTGAAAGAAGTGGTTGAAAGCTTTCCTACAAATGCACGCACGTTTGGGTCTAAGAAAATGGCTAACTTATGCCCAGAGAAAAAATGTCCAGACCCCTCTTGTACTGAAGAATTCGAAAGACATTCTGAACTCGAGGTGCATTTGAATATATATGGTCATTGCATGGTATCTCACCCAATCGAAGAAAGCCTGTACGACCACCTAAAGAAAGACTGGGTTCATCGTTTTGAAATCCTTTCTTTGCCTGAGGAAAGACCGCCAGGTGCAGTGAACAACGACAAGACAAATCACCCACCCCTAAGTATGGGCTGGGCACTTACACAAGAAATGTAGTAGTAAAAGGTTCTCTACGAATGTACGCCAGTATTTGATAATGAAAATTAACATCGGGCAAGAAACAGGACGGAAATAACACAGGTGACAAAGGACATGCGAGCAGCCTCAACAGAAGACGGAGATAGAAAGTTTTAAAGAGCAGAATGGCTCACTAAATCATAGATACAAGGCTTCTTTTCTAGGTTATCCAAGAGAATCAAAGATGGTCAATTGATAACAACGGTCAATATCGAAAGTGAGTCAGAGGACATGGACGATGAAGATGATATAGAGGAATACGCATGTGACGAAGATGATGAGCAATTGATTGACACTAGGCAAACTGTATTGGACAAAATAGGTGTAACCCATCCAATTATTTTTGATGTATATAATCTTTGCACATTAAAACAGGAGAAAAGGGTATCTTCATTCAAGGTCAAGATGCTAAAGGAAAATTGCAGCCACTTTGAGCTACCATTTCGGTCTCGAGACAATAAAGCTGATCTTGTGACCACGATTGAAGAAATGGTTCAAGGGTGCAGTTGTAATGCCTGTTGGAAAGATACCTGTTAAAATTGATTGTTCGAAAATTTTGGTAAGAGATGGAGCAAAGGTATCAGCTGCAGAGATCCTAGTCATTCTAGTGTTTGAATTCTTTTGGTGGAAGGCCTGTTAGCTAGACTGGTTAAGTCATGATCATTTATCCTGTAAAATAGATATAACACTAACACACATTGTAGACCCTTATTTCCATTTCTTTTATGTCTATTTGGCTATTAAACATTGACTAGCATTTTTTTACTTCTCGGATTGTAATGAAGAAACTTTAAGAATAGTATGTTATAATATTGTGGTAAAAATAAATAAATATATTCCAAATGAAAAGAAAGTGTTGTGTATGTAAATTTAAGGCAGGCGGGTTCCTCGAGTTCTCCGTGGAATGGCTATGTTTGCATCTCATTTGATATGTGTATATACACATAAATGTATACTACAACCTTTTATGCAAGCGAGTGTTTTAAATATATATACATCATCTTGCCAGTTAAATTTAGCCGAACGATTTCTATTCGAAGGTAAGCAGTCCGTTATCATACATAGAAAAGGGGAACCCAATAAAGTGCAAGTAGTTCGACGTAAAATAGCAACATGGGGCAATTGAACGTGTACAGCACAATATGCCACGTCTGTAAATCGCGAACGGTAAACGAATGTACAGTTTATGCATTGGTGACCGGTGAACGCTATGTATCACCGCTACACCACCCGTGCTTGCAATGCATACTTCTTGCAAAAAATCAAAATCAAAATGTTATCGACGTGAAATGTAAAATACTGATCATACATACAAATGTTCAGGATAAAAATCGCCATCACAAGCATGAACAGTCGCAAGGGCTAAAAACAACTAATCAAAAATACGAATTAGACTCGTTTGAGAATGAGCACAAGGGAAGCAGACGCTGAAGCAAACATGAGGCAAAACAACAAAACACATACTTTAAGCGAAGGACGAAAACCTTTACCTTACAACTTGGACACTTTCCAGCAACAAACGAATATGCTTCGTGCAATTCCCTTTAAATAAATGAAGGGCGGGGTCTCAACTTCCATCACGACTGTCATTCATTAAAAAGTCAGTCTTAAACCACGTGGTCTGTGACGCATGCGTTGGACTACTTATAGTTACAGTCGACTGCTGTTTATCTTAGTATCTTAGCAACGCAAGAGACATCTTCTTATCAAGAAGCTGATTGTTTACATCACATATTATTTCAAACCAAAATATTATAGATTTTCTCGCATTCTTCATTACTCATATATAGCTTTAATATTAGAGTGTTTTATGGAGTACAACTCGTTAAGAACTTTTTTGATGTAGAATGAATCACCAAATGAATATCCCGGTAAATTAACTGTATGGACGTCATGTCTGCTGTTCACACCCGACCAGCATGTCCGTCTAACATGCGCCAAATACTAACCTTTTTTTTAATTTACAGGTTGGTTATTAAAGCGGTTGGGAAAGGGAATTCGTCTAGACCATTATTTGAACCGAGCGTTAATTTCTGCAGGAGGTGTTATATATACATTGCATAATATCACGAACAGATCGAACCATGTGAACTGAATAGAGATTGAAAAGTATCAAAAGCCTGTAATTTCAATGTTTCTAAATTTATGAATATAGAAAAATAGTTTACATATCAATATGCGAATGTTTTGAGAGTTTTATATTTGCAAGAAATATTCAGTCTTAAAGCGCAATTAAGTTTTCAGTTAAGGTGGCGCCAATGAGCGAACTAGAGTAAAGGGAGGTAGCGACCGAACATCGAATACCCCATAGGTTTGTTAATAGATGTACTATAGAATATATATCCTACAATCTTTAATTTCTTTCTTGGCGGCTAAAAGTGATTGAACACTGCAAACGAAGATGAAATATAAAATTAAAATAATTTTTTTTAAGCGCTAGGGAAAAAAACATTATTTTTCCGAGTTACACGTGGCTTACGAAATGCAGATTTAAAGTTTGATTGACAGGCGACCAAAACCAAATAATTGGACACTAGGTTTTTGGAAAGTTGCAAATTGTATTTCGCGCAAATTCTTACCGGTTTTCGTTTTTGCGTTGTTACAAGGTAGAAGCTGAAAAGTGCTTTATGAAGGATAACTTTAGTTGAGGATTGTAAAACGGAAAGGATTCTATATTTGTTAGTAGTTATATTTGGAGAATATGTGGACAAGACACAAAACTGTCGGATTTACTGTGCACAAAATCAATAAATACTCTTTGATGGACACCGGTTGTGCCAAGTTCTGCAAAATGGCGTTCATGTTTTGTCTTAAGAATGACACTTTGATATTGTTATTAAACCGAATCAAGAATTGTATTTATTTCTAGGAAACAACAGTCATACAATTCCATATCGTGTCTTTCAAAATGACATGCATATGTTTAAGAGGCAGTCCGCATAAGGATCGAGCAAACCTACCTAAAACTTTACCTGAAGAAAGCCTACAATTAGGCTAGTACACTGGTACAATTTATTATCGAATTTATTTATTTAATTTAATTTTATTTTTTTTGAGCGAAAAACAAATTTGGTCAAAAACCGAACGCGAGAGCGTGAAATTTGTGAACTTCAAAATTCGCTCCAAGAAAAAACTGAGGTCTTTCGTAATCAAACATTAAACGATCATCTTTTGTGCCTTAGAACTTTTAGTTGAAGTATTAAATTATATATTTTTACTAAATTTATGGGGAGATAATCTTCTCCGAATACGGCATACTTTGTCCTTTCATACAGAAGTGCAAAATAGCCGAAGTGCAACAGTCCTAAACCAAGATAGTAGCTTTGAGAGAGCACTAAAAACACTAATTTTCCCAGAAAGATCAGTTATTCTAATAACTTTGCCTGACTGAAATTCCGCGGGCATTTGCTTGGTGTTGAGAGGGAGCTTCCTTCTTACTTAACTATTTTCACGTTTTCACCGGCTTGATCGTATACTGAATACATCCATGTAAGAAAAGCTAAATAAATTATACAAATTCAGGAGATCATTGAAATGTCACTAAAATTCACTTTGGAACTTGTGTGGACACATATTAGTACATTTTCCCTTTCTAGATTTACTTTTAGTCTAGTTTAGCAGCTTTTCATAGCTAACCTAGCATCTTGTGTGCTGAATTATGCAAATGAGCCGCCTTGTTTTCATGCTCTTTTCTTTCGGCTTTATCAAGAGCGAGCCGATCACAGATTAAAGAAACTATATTGCAATCAATGTAGTCCTAAAAGAATACAGCTCAAATGTGGAAATTGCTACAACCATATTCAGGCTTCAGCAATCGTCACTATACCAATAAGAACAGCAAAGTTCGTTGACGTACAATAAATCATAGTCAATGGAGCGGAATGGTTTGGAATCTCCATAGAACAAAGCTATAGTTTTGAGTCTGATGTTGAACCGTACCATCACATGATACTGACCCTGCACAATGGACCAAAGCAAGTATGGCTGAAAATACTCATTTCCTTATTATTTTCGTGTATGAACATTTTGAAAGTGAAAACTTTCATTAGATGACCAAAAACCATTTGAATAAATATTTCGGCGCAGAGATACAGTTAAGTTACTAGATGATGAATAAGAAAGCATGAAAAAAGGCAATTTCCTTTTCAATAAACAATTTGTATTAATCATATAGGATTAACTAACAAATAAAATATAATAAGAATTTGAGAACGTTTTTTAGGGTTAAAAATTTCTATATTCCCGAATACTATGAAGAAACGGAGCAACGTTGTATAGGGCATAATTGGCTGATTGCTACTCGACTAGTAATTTTAAAAATGTCTGTTGACGAGTCGCGTGGTCATAATATGATTGAAGCGAATCGCGTTTTCTCAAAGCCGGTTCTTTCAATCGACGGAAAATTGTACTTTCTAAATTTCTCTTCACACAACAAATTAATAGATACTTCAAAAGGTTCAAAGATTGTGCACGGTCAACGTCATATAACAGTGGATATAGTCGAACAAAAACCTAGAACAATAGGTTTCCCAACTATTCCGCTCCATTAACTATGAATAAATTTAGTCCAGGACCGTGAAAGTCACAACAACATGGAAATTAGTATTTTGATGTAGAAAACCCTATCTAATGCATTCTTTAAGCTCTTTAAATTCCTAAGTTTTTTTGTCAAGTTTCTCGCTGCTCTTCTAACTCTGCAACTAATGAGTTATATCGGATAACTATCCCAGCAGCCGACTCTAGGATTGCCACGCAACCACTTGCAATTAATAGATTGTATCCAATTCGACTCCAAAATACACCGTTACAGGCTGTAAAAGCCTAAATCTGTGAGCTACTGCATGTGTTTAATTAAGAAATATCAGGGTGTTTTGACGCGACATATACGAGTGATTTGAAAGAATCATAAAATGCACTCGCTTCCATGATATATCCTTCTCGCTATTATGTGTCGATAGTGATCGAATGCAAGGAAGGAGGAACGAAGGTTACTGATTCATGTTACGCTTACGCCAATAGCACGCGCAAATCAAGCACCCTTTAGACCTTGGTATATCCGCGTATACGCCTAACACCCTGTATACCACGTAAACCCGATATACACCATGTATACTCTATACTCTTGTATATCCATGCATCTCATTTACACCATGTATACTCTGTATACCCTGTATCCCCAAGTAAACCCATGCATACCTTGTAAACCCTGTATACTCTGTATACCCGTGTACACCCCTGTTTACCCTGTAGACCCTGAATACCCTGTATACCCCTGTATACCCTGTATACCCTGAATACCCCTGTATACCCATGTACACCCCTGTATACCCTGTATACCCTGAATACCCTGTATACCCCTGTATACTCTGTATACCAATGTATACCCTGTATACCAATGTATACCCTGTATACCAATGTATACCCTGTATACCAATGTATACCCTGTATACCAATGTATACCCTGTACAATTCGGATGATAGCAGCAGTGAAACTGAAAGTCAATCAGGTGATGATCAGTTTCATAATCACGAGGAAAGCGATGAAGAACAAGAAGAAGAACAAAGCAACGATGATGAAGAGGAACCAAATTATGCCGATGAACAAAGAGACTCCTCGGCTCTGACGTAATGTTTTCCCATTTCAGACCACGTGTCATTCCCTAGAGTATCATTTCTTTGTAAAAGGTTTGCGCTCGGTTACACATGATAAGACACATGAATATGGATACAACTCAAACAAGGAATATTATTACCAAGGGAGTGACACGTGGTCTGACATGGAACAACATTACACTAGAGCGCTCCAGAACCGAGGAGGTCTATTTTTCAATTTATCTGTAGTTCGGTGCCCCACTTGCCATTCGCATGAATGTCACTTTGGTCATGTAAGCGGGTTGCTTGAGTTTGACATTTGTACGACCATGTTCCCTTCAAATCAACGAAACACGAAGATTAAAATGTTTTACTCTTGTAATGATTTCAAATCAACCAGCTGGCTTTAAAATCAAAAAAATTGAAACTTATTGAACCGAGAGCATCGAGTTACTATACAAGTAATCAGGAAGTAGGGGAAAAGAAAGTAACGTAGGATGTTGTAACTTTGTTATGGTTTAAGGAAAAGCTGAAAAATCAAAAATGGTACAATCGAGTGAAGAAACGAATGACGAGGCAAACCCCCGGGGGGCCCCCAGGGACGCCAGCGGGGGATAAACCACGGAACATGACTCGATCTATATTAGGCTGTTATTGAACAATATTACTCAGTACAACATGTCAAACTAAACCGGTACCTCAATACAAAAAAACAAAAGGAGGTTTCGTGACTCTTTGTACTATCTGAAAACGATTAATTATGCGCATTATTTAGTTTGTAGTGGATAATGATCTACTGACAATATAATCAAAACATATTGCTTAGCAATCCTTTCCAAAGGTCACTAGAGGCTTTTCAGCAAAAAAAAAAGGTATAATTATGAAAATGAAGGCAAAATAAACATGTGATAGCGTCATTTGGCTTTGCTTTTTCAATTAGAATTAAATAATGTTGGAAAGATGACACAGCTTTCGAACCTTTTTTGATTTTTCAGCTTTTCTTTAAACCATAACTAAGTTACGATATCCTACGCTACTTCCTTTTCCTCTACTTCCTGATTATTTGTATAAAACATGCCTTATAAGTGAATAAGAAGAAAACTTAAACACATGCAGTATGAAAAAAATGTACAACACTGACATTTCGGACGTCATTCTCTCGGAGTAAAAATAGTATTTATTATAAGTTTGAATTTCTTCTTTTCGCTTGTTGTATAAACTAACACAGCACCAACTAGTACCCGCTAGAGATTAGTATACCAAGTCAAACGCTACCGAAATATTCTTCAATCAAAGACAAGAGTAAGCAATGAAACAAGGATAAATTTGAATTTAAATGCATCAAAATAAAGACAATTTTTGTGCAATATTTGTAATGACGGGACAAACCGAAAGAATTGTTGAGTAATAGTTGTTGAAGTCATTATTGTCTCCAAACATGATAAATCTGGCAGGTAACCAATCAGAAAGCGTCTAATTCGAATGTTGCTGTAAGCACGGGGTAAGAGAACTAAAGGAAGAAGGAATATGAAGAATCATTCAAAAATAGCAGATTGCGAAAAAAAACCCCAATTTTTTAAAATATTTTGATTAGGTGAGTTACCGTGTAATTGTCAAATTTAGAGAATGAATGTGATATACATGATATTTTTATATAAATGTTTCTAATAACAATAGTAACCATATCTTTGGCTCAAATAAGCGAACTGACTTCCTCTGCTGAAACGTGGCTTGGTGTAAATCAAAGACAACATTTCGGTTTTCAACCTAATTGTGTCAAGCTGGAACTGAGAGAAAACGAAGTCTGTGTTTTAGAAACATGTTTCGTTGTTTAAAAGAAGTTCTATCGGGCACCATCCTTATTCTATACAGCATGAGAAATACAACGTATTTAACCTTAATTTTCAGTCTATGGCTAGCTTTAACTTTACCGCAAATAGGTGAGTCATTTTTGGTTATCTTACTTAAGTAATTGAATCGGAAATTTGCATACATTTATCAAGTGAATGTGAATAATACGTGACTGTTTAATATCGTAGTGCACTGAGTAATACTATCGGCAAAGGTATTAGGATGCGCTTACTACCACTATGCGCGATAACTTTAATTTAATTTAATTTAATTTAATTTAATTTTACTTTACTTTACTTTACTTTACTTTACTTTACTTTACTTTACTTTACTTTACTTTACTTTACTTTACTTTAATTTACTTTACTTTACTTTACTTTATTTTATTTTATTTTTTTAATCGCTGGTCACCTTATTGCCCTTAGAACGAAATTTGAGCTTTCCTCAGTAAAAACGTTGTACGGACAGGACACCTACATTTTTAATGAGTTATCTTTACAACAAACATGCTCAGGATTCAAAGATAGTACGGATAAATAATTCTAAAAGCACTCTCAAATCGTCACATGACATATCAATTCTTTGTAACAAAACGTACTTATAATTCTAAGTTGACTAAGCTATACTACCAGATCATAGTTAATGGAGCGTAATTGTTGGGAAACCTATTGTTTTAGGTTTTTGTTTGACTTTATCCATTGTTATATGACGTTGACCGTGCACAATCTTTGAACCTTTTGAAGTATCTATTRATTTGTTGTGTGAAGAGAAATTTAGAAAGTACAATTTTCCGTCGATTGAAAGAACCGGCTTTGAGAAAAAGCGATTCGCTTCAATCATATTATGACCACGCGACTCGTCAACAGACATTTTTAAAATTACTAGTCGAGTAGCAATCAGCCAATTATGCCTCTGTTTATGCTATTAAGGAATATATAATTTTTTCCCTAAAAATCGTTGTAAAATAGTTATTTATTAATTAATCCTGTAAGATATCATTAATTGTTTATTGAAAAGTAAAATGGCCTTTTTTCATGCTTTGTTACTTATCATCTAGTAACTTAGCTGTATCTGCGTGGAAATATTTATCTGCATAGTTTGTGGTCATCGGATAAAATTTTTTATTTTCAAAATGTTCAAACAAGAAAGTAATAAGGAAATCCGTATTTTCAGCCATACTTGCTTTGGTTCGTTGTGCACGGTCAGTATGTATCACGTGATGGTACGATTGAACCTCCACGTGATGGCAGCCGTGGCAGGAGGCACAACGATAGATTTTTCTTTTTTTTTTTTATTTATTTTTATTTTTTCGCAGATAACAATAGATCAGATTCAATAGAATAAACCAGATTTAATTCTTTGGTGCAAATGCTCTATAGACTTGGCTCGTGTTATATCTTGAAATGCTAAGGCGACATCTTGATTTCTTCATTACTTTTGGTTTTTAACCAAAATATGAACAAAGGTAGAAAGGAATGAATGAATGAATGATCAAGATAAGTGAAATCGGTACATATGGAATGACTGAAAGGAATGAAAAAGGTATCTATTGAATTGATAGGATCGATCAACCCAGAAACAAATATCGCTGATCGGAAGTATGGTTGGGGAAATCCTTGCTCCCAAAACAAATTTTCATTTATTATCAATTCTTCCTATTACAGGATTCACGTCAACCGTCCATGTACGTTTGGTGGATAACACGGTACCTAACGCTGGTCGAGTGGAAATAGGCTACAAAGGTGTTTGGAAATCTGTCTGTGGCACAAACTGGTATATCAGGGAGGCTAATGTTGCGTGTAGAATGATGGGGTACAACCAAGGTGCTGCAGCAGCCATCAATGGAATGACAAGTTCTGATGATGCTTGGCCGTCGATTATTTCCTGCAGAGGACAAGAGGACGCCATAACTTTTGAAGAATGTACCATTAGAAACCGAAAATTTAAACCTTGTGCGCATGACAGGAGAGCTGGTGTTGTATGTAAATCAGGTAAAACCACCATTTATGGACTTATTGAATGACTGATTAAAGGTCACGCTGACTGGCTGTCAATGAGTGATTCACTAACCCACCCACCAACCAACCCGCTGTTCTGTTTCATATAAAATACAGGGGAAAATAATCCATAGTAGTCAGACCCCACCCCTCCAGTGGAGTTCTTAAAGTTATTAAATCATTAGGGTGATCAGCGGCGTTCTGTTAGGTAAATTCCCTCATTTCACATTTTAACCTCTTTTCCTTCTATTTGCATACTATCAGTAATTTGGTTTCAGAATTATTTATATATATATGTGTGTGTGTGTGTGTGTGCGTGTGTGTGAGTGAGTGAGTGAGTGAGAAGAAAAAGCCAAGACTACATTTTTCCCGACAAGCCTGTTTCGTGAATCGCTTCACTCTTCAGGGGATTTTATGATATGAATATTCGTGACTATCGTATATATATATATATATAAATATACTACGCAACGTTACTATGTTGCTACGCAACAACGTTACTACGCAACAGCTGAACTATATTTACTAAATAAATTAAAATCTATTTAGTAAATATAGTTTAGCTGTTGCATAGTAACGCTTTGTTTCTGTGGCGGCATGAAAATACAAGTTCGTTTCGTTTATTTAATGATGAGAGTTAAGGTCGGTAGATTATTAGAAATTTTTCTTTGAGGCAAATGTTACATCTTTTTGCTGGAGCTGTTGTAGGCAGAGCTGGAAGATAGGACGCGCCATGAAATGGAGTAGCCGATATTATTATTGTTCTTGAGAGTCCAGATGCGTTTGCTGAGTTCAGTGGAGTTTTTGTGTTGTTCGTGGCGGAATGAGACGGTGTGGTTTCTGTATCTTGTTTTGAAGTCGTTTTCTGTGAGTCCTATGTATGTTGTAGTAGTGTTATTGTCCTTTCTTGTGACGGTGGCTTGATAAATAACTGTTGGTTGGAGGCAGTTGCCATTAAGCGAACAATTGTTCTTTTGTCGGCAGTTTCTCTGTTTTGTTGTCCTATGTGTTGTTTGCGGTGCCGTTGCCGTCTTTCAATGAATGTAAAATCGCTCTTTGTCGTGCAGCTGTAACTGATCTTGACGGTGTTCCGATTAAATTTTCTAAGGTTATGGCTTCTAGGGAAGTGTTTATCAACTAGGCCAAGGAATCTCTGTCCGATATTGGTGCTRACATTTTTGCTAAATGGGGGGTTGTACCAGAGTATGTTGTTTCGTTGTCTGTTTTTGCATTTTGTGGTCGTGGTTGGTTCGTAGTGCAGGGTGTACTGGTATCCGCTTTCGTCGAGTGCTTTTTGGTATAGAGGGGCAGCTTGGTCGAAAGATGTTTCATCATATGAAAGGGATGACAGTCGTCTGTTGATGCCGGCTTTTTTGATGTTTTTAGTTTCTCTCGGTGTGGCGTTAGAAATGGCTAGTCCGTCGTCTCGGTAAAGTCCTACGTTGATGCTGGGGTTTTGTGGTTGAAAAAGAAGGAAACTTCCTACTAACTCGCATGTTTCAGCGCCGTCGTAGCTGCCCATTTTAACGTCAAATGTGGTGTCACCTTTCTTTTGCCACTGTTGCTGTTTGTGGATTTATATATA